TTCGTTCTTTTCTATGTGACTGTCCAGTTTGCTGAACACCATTTGCTGAAGAGACTTTCCTTTCTCCATTGTATGTTCTTGGCTTGTTTGTTAAAGATTAGCTGTCCATATGTGTGTGGTTTTATTTCTGGGCATTCAGTTCTGTTCTGTTGATCTGTGTGTCTATTTTTGTGCCAGTACCATGCTGTTTGGATTATGATAGCTTTGTAGTATATTTTGAAGCCAGAGATTGTGAGGCCTCCAGCTTTGTTCTTTTTTTTTTTTTTTTTTTGAGGAAGATTAGCCCTGAGCTAACATCTGTGCCCATCTTCCTCTACTTTATACGTGGGACGCCTGCCACAGCATGGCTTGCCAAGCGGTGCCATGTCTGCACCCGGGATTCGAACCAGTGAACCCCGGGCCTCAGAAGTGGAACGTGCACACTTAACCACTGCGCCACTGGGCTGGCCCCAGCTTTGTTCTTTTTTCTCAAGATTGCTTTAGCTATTTGGGTCTTTTGTTGCCCCATATGAATTTTAGGATTCTTTGTTCTGTTTCTGTCAAGAATGTCACTGGGATTCTGATTTGGATTGCACTGAATCTGTAGATTGCTTTAGGTATTATGAACAATTCAACTATATTTATTCTTCCAATCCATGTGCATGGAATATCTTTCCATTTCTTAGTGTCATCATCGATTTCTTTCACTAATGTATTATAGTTTTCAGTATATAGGTCTTTCACCTCCTTGGTTAAATTTATTCCTAGATGTTTTATTCTTTTCATTGCGTTTATAAATGGGCTTGTATTCTTGAGTTCTCTTTCTGTTAGTTCGTTATTAGGGTGTAGAAATGCAACTGATTTTTGTAAGTTGATTTTGTACCCTGCAACTTTGCTGTAGTTGTTAATTATTTCTAATAGTTTTCCAATGGATTCTTTAGGGTTTTCTATATATAAGATCGTGTTGTCTGCGAACAGCAAGAATTTTCACTTCATTGTCTATTTGGATAGCCTTTATTTCTTTTTCTTGTCTAATTGCTCTGGCCAAACTTTCCATACTATGTTGAATAAGAGTGGTGAGAGTGGGCATCCTTGTCTTGTTCCTGTTCTTAGAAGGATGGCTTTCAGTTTTTCCCCATTGAATATGAAGTTGGCTGTGGGTTTGTCATATATGGCCCTTATTATGTTGAGGTACTTTCCTTCTGTACCCATTTTATTGAGAGTTTGTATCATAAATTCCTTTTCGATCTTGTCAAATGCTTTCTCTGTGTCTATTGAGATGATCATGTGGTTTTTAATTCCTCATTTTGTTAATATGGTCTATCACATTGATTGATGTTGAACCGTCCCTGCATCCCTGGAATAAATCCCACTTGGTCATGGTGTACGATCCTTTTAATGTATTGCTGTGTTCAGTTTGCCAATACTTCGTTGAAGAGTTTTGCAACTGTGTTCATCAGCAATACTGGCCTGTAATTTTCCTTCTTTGTGTTGTCTTTGTCTGGCTTTGGGATCAGGGTGATCTTGGCCTCATAGAATGAGTTAGGAATTGTTCTGTCTTCTTCCAGTTTTTGGAATATTTTGAGAAAGATAGGCATTAAGACTTCTTTGAATGTTTGGTAGAATTCTCCAGAGAAGCCATCTGGTCCTCGACTTTTATTTTTTGGAGATTCTTGATTACTGTTTCAGTGTCTTTATTTATGATTGTCTATTCTGATTCTATATTTCTTCTTGGTTCAGTTTTGGGAGATTGTGTGAGTCTAAGAACTTATCCATTTCTTCTGGATAAAACAAGTTTGTGCATTTGTTGGCATATGATTTTTCATAATATTCTCTTAAAATCCTTTGTATTTCTGTGGTAGCCATTGTAATTTCTCCTCTTTCATTTCTAATATTGTTTATTTGAGCCTTCTCTCTTTTTTTTAGTGAGTCTTACTAAGGGTTTGTCAATTTTATTTATCTTCTCAAAGAAGCAGCTCTTTGTTTCATTGATCCTTTCTACCATTTTTTAAAATTTCAATTTCATTTATTTCTGCTCAATTTTTTATTATGTCTATCCTCTGCTGACTTTGGGCTTTGTTGTTCATTATTCTTTTTCTAATCCTGTTAGGTGTAGTTTAAGCTTGCTTATTTGAGATTTTTCTTGTTTGTTAAGGTGGACCTGTATTGCTATGAATTGCCCTCTTAGGACTGCTTTTCCTGCGTCCCATATGAGTTGATATGGTGTATTTTCATATTCATTTGACTCCAGATATTTTTTGATATCTCTAATTTCTTCAATGATCCATTGGTTGTTCAGTAGCATATTACTTAGTCTCTACATATTTGTCACATTCCCAGCTTTTTTCTTGTGCTTGATTTCTAGTTTCATAGCATTATGGTTGGAAAAGGTGCTTTATATTATTTCAGTGTTCTTAAATTTATTGAGGCTTGCCATGTTTCCCAACATGTGGTCTATCTTTGAGAATCTTCCATGTGCACTTGAGAAGAATGTGTCTTCTGCTGATTTTGGGTGGAGTTTTCTATATATATCTATTAAGTCCATCTGGTCTAGTTTTTCATTTAATTCCAGTATTTCCTTGTTGACTTTCTGTCTGGATGATCTATTCATTGATGTAAGTGGGGTCTTGAGGTCCCCTACTATTATTGTTTTGCTCCTTTTAGGTCTCTTAATAGTTGCTTTATGTACTTTTGTGCTCCTGTGTTAGCTTCATATATTTTTAAGTGTTATGTCCTCTTGGTGGAGTGTCCCTTTTATCATTGTATACTGCTGCTCTTTCTCTCTCATTGCCTTTTTTTTATCTTCACGTCTACTTTGTCTGATATAAGTATGGCAACACCTGTTTTCTTTTGTTTGCCATTAGCTTGGTGTATCATATTCCGTTTCTTTACTCTGAGCCTGTGATTGTCTTTAGAGCTGAGATGTGTTTCCGGGAGACTGTATATTGTTGGATTGTTTTTTAATCCTTGCAGTCACTGTGTCTTTTCATTAGAGAATTCAATCCATTTACATTTAGAGTGATTATTGATATATGAGGGCTTAATACTACAATTTGATCACTTGTTTCTTGTCTGTTCTGTATTTCCCTTGTTTCTCATCCCTTGTATTTCAGAGTGCCAGTTCAGTTTGGTGGTTCTTTTTGATGGTTTTCTCAGCTTTCTCTTTATTTATTGTTTGTGTGTCTGTTCTGATTTTTTGTTTAGTTGTTATGGTGACGTTTGTATAAAAGATCTTGTAGATGAGATAGTCCATTTTCTGATAGCCTCTTATTTCCTTAGTCTAAGCAGGTTCCATCCCTTTTCTCATCCCCGTCTAAGTTGTTGTCACAGCTTATTTTGCTTTGTGTTGTGTTTGTGGTTAAAATGAAGTGATTATAGTTATTTTTGATGTTTTCCTTCCCTTTGTCTTTAATGTTATAATTAAGTGTTACCTAACCTGTTTTGATAGCTGCAATTTTCTGACTTTTGTCTGCCTATTTATCTCCTTGCTCAAGGCTTTGTAAACCCCTTCTTTTATTTTTTTTTCCAGATATGAGTGCCTTCTTGATCATTTCTTGTATGGGGGTGGTCTTGTGGCGATGAACTCCTTCAGCTTTTGTTTATCTGGGAAAATTTTTATTTCTCCATCATATCTGAAGGATATTTTTGCTGGTTAGAGTATTCTTGGCTGAAAGTTTTTGTGTTTCAGAGTTTTGAACATATCGTTCCACTCTCTCCTGGCCGTTAAGGTTTCTGCTGAGAAATCTGCTGAAAGCCTGATAGGGGTTCCTTTATAAGTTATTTTCTTCTGCCTTGCTGCCCTTAATATTTTTTCTTTGTCATTGACTTTTGCCAGTTTTACTGATATATGCCTTAGAAAAGGTCTTTTTACATTGATGTAATTAGACATTCTAATAGGTTCTTTTACTTGTATTTCTAGCTCCTTCCCTAAGTTTGGGAAGTTCTCTGTTATTATTTCTTTGAACAAGCTCTGTGTTCCTTTCTCTCTCCCTTCTCCCTCTGGGGTACCTATAGTCGTTGTGTTGCATTTCCTAATTGAGTTGGATATTTCTCTGAGAATGTCTTCATTTCTTTTGAAGTCTTAGTTCTCTCTCCTCCTCCATCTGAAGCATTTCTAAATTCCTGTCCTCTAATTTGCTAATTCTATTCTCCATAATATCAGCTCTTTTATTTAAGGACTAGATGTTTCTTTATCTCATTCATTGTGTTTTTCATCTCCAACATTTCTGATTTTTCTTTTTATGGTTTCAATCTCTTTTGTGAAGAATTTTCTCAGTTCATTAATTTTATTCCTGATTTCATTGAACTGTCCTTTTGAGTTTCCTTGTAACTTGTTGAATTTTTTTTATGATAGCTGTTTTGAATTCTCTGTCATTTAGTTGTAAATTTGTGTGCCTTCAGGATTGATTTTGGGAGGCTTGGCATTTTCCTTCTGGTCTGGATTGTTAATATACCTCTTCATACTATTTGATGGGGTGGATTTGTGCCTTCGCATAGTGGTAGTATCTGGTCACAGATTCCATCTGCTGCCCCTGGAGGGTGGGGCAGGAGCTGTGTATTCTGCACCCGCTGCAGTCTGTGGCAACTGTGCCTGTCTTTTGGAAGCTGTGCTGACGGCCTGTGTTTGCACGCTCCTGGCTGCTGCTTTACGAACGTATGCTCAGGCACCATGACGGGGTGCTTGGCTTGGTGAAGACGCCCCCATGATTGCTTAGCCTCCTTGGTGTGGAGCTTTCTCATGGGCTGGGAGGCAACTCTGAGAGCAAAGGCATTCCCACAGAGGGCAGTCTCCTTTGCCCTCTCCTCTCAGAGCCATGCGTGGTCCTGTGCCCTAGGTCACTGCTGTTGGGGAAGGGAGAGGAGGTCCCCTTACCTCCTTCCACTGCCTCCAGGAGGTCCAGCACTTCCACCGTCAAACATATGGCTGTGACTGGCTCTCAGAGGTCTGTTGTGTTGTGTGAATGTCCTCTGTTGGTTTATGAGTGTCCTTTTCATTGTATCTTAGGGGGGGAGAGTCTAAGGGAAGTGGCCCCTGTGCCATGATGCTGATGTCACTCCTTTCATTTGATATTTTTGTACTTCTTTTCCAGTAAATACTTTACTTTCATTTCGTACTGCACATTTAAGCAAAACAGTTGGAGAATTTTCACATTAAGCAGGGCTCTATTATCAGAGTTCTGAAGTAGGCACAGGCCCCTCCTCCAACTCTAGAAGGAAGATGTAGGTTGCTATCCTTATTGTTTCTTTGTTTCTTTCTTATTAAAGGAATGGGTTTTAAACATCATTTGAAACCTCTGAACTGCTGGGTACCTGTGTGTTGTGATTATAGTCACATAGATCAATTTGGCATTGGAGAACCACCGACGTTTTGATAAATGAAGGTGTAGTTGGTGATTCCCTCAGCTGAGATTTCCCTTACTTCATCCTCATGTACATGTAAGTCTTCACATCCCTCAATAACTGCTTAAGTATCTGTTTATATCTGTAGCTTGTTACTCCTAACTGGCCATCTCAGAGCCTAGTGACATCTCCCAACCTAGAGTTGTTGAACGGAGAGGTGGTAATGCATCTTGGAGATCATTGGATTCATCTGTTTAGCTTTGCAGAGGGGAAAACCTGAGGCTGTAAGGAGTGTGGGACTGGCTGCAGTCACATCTCTGTTACTAAGAGAAACACTGGAGGGGCCAGCCGGTGGCACAGTGGTTAAGTTCTCACGTTCTGCTTCGGTGGCCTGAGATTCGCTGGTTCGGATCCCAGGTGCAGACATGACGCCGCTTGGCAAATGCCATGCTGTGGTAGGCGTCCCATGTATAAAGTAGAGGAAGATAGGCATGGATGTTAGCTCAGGGCCAGTCTTCCTCAGCAAAAAGAGGAGGACTGGCAGTAGTTATCTCAAGGCTAATCTTCCTCAAAAAAAAAAAAAACGAAAGAGAAACACTGGAAGGAGGATAAAGTCCATATTCCCTGCCTCCGACTCAGGTCTCTTTCTATTTCAGTATCCCATCCTTTTTGAATACCCCAATATTGTGTGCTCTAAATCAATGAGAATTTGAAGTAAAATCATCTGATTTTATGTAATTTGAAGCACCGCTTATTTTTATGTTTAGAATATTCAAACTTTGAAGACCAATTTATTTGGATAATTAATTTTTTTTATTGTGGTAATTTAAGAATGATGATGGATTGACTTCTTTGCTAAATAATTGTGGTTTTATGGTAATATCTAAAGAGGAGAGGGACATGTGGCTACCTTAGGTGGAATCACATAAGCTAGAGTCTTAGGAAATTCAGTTAAAGTCGACCACAGTTTATTGAGCATTTACTTTTGTCAGGCCCTGTTCTGGGCATTGAGGATATGACATTGAAGAAGCATTGAACAATGTCAGTGGGCATTCAACAAGCCCTGTGTATTGATACCTACTCCTATGGAGTTTACTTGGTGAGGGAGGAGCCTTTTCCATTCTTGGTGGTGGAGTATTGGAATTACAACAGCAGGAAAAGTTCTCTCCCCTCTGTCAAAGCTCCTGAAGGAGAGAAATGAACAAGATGTTATACAGATGAAGTATTTATATAACCAGTGATTCTATGGACTCAGCAGTAGAGAGGAAACTCTCCTGAGTCGTAGACAGTGTGTGGTATAAGCAGAACAGGAGCTTTAGAATAAAGATGCTGAACGTCTCAAAATCTCATTTTCTATATATGTGAATTGGGACTAATAATAGCTTGTTGTGACTATCAGATGAGGTTGCTAAGGTAGAGTGACTGCCCTCGCATGTAAAAAAACGATGTTCAGTAAGTGGTTGCTGCTGCTATTGTTGCTATTTTATTAGGTACAGTGGAAATAAAGATCAGAGTGTCTTAGGTTTTCTTAGTCATTTTATCTTTTCTTCCTATAGTACAAGTATTCTTAACCTTTTTTGTTTTCTTGTGTCAGACAAATTAGATTCACAGGAATAATAACATGCTTCCAAGAATGTACCCACGAAACTAACTGAAATTCCACCTTTCAGGAAAGCACCCCAGAATGCAGATGATTGTGTGACGTCATTATTGAAATTCTGTGGCCAGTGGTTACAACCCTTGGCTGAGTTACTGTGGGAAAACTACTTAACTCATCTGTGCCTATTCTTCTTTTTTTTTGTTTTTTGGTGGGGAAGATTGTTGCTGAGCTAACATCTGTTGCCAATCTTCCTCTTTTTTCTTGAGGAAGATTGTCACCAAGCTAACATCTGTGCCAGTCTTCCTCTATTTTGTATGTGGGATGCCACCACAGCGTGGCTTGATAAGTGGTACGTAGGTCCATGCCTGGGATCTGAACTGGCCAATTCTGGGCTGACAGAGCGGAGCATGCAAACTTAACCACTATGTCACTGGGCTGGCCCCAGCATCTGTGCCTATTTTTTTCTGTAAAATATATTACCTGTTTGTAGGATTGTCATGGAGATTGAGTGAGTTTTTATCAATGAGGTGGTGAGAAGAGTTGTTAGTGATACTATTATTAATTTTTTATTCTTGAGAAAATCTTGCCTTGATTCTGGTTTATAAGAGAGTAAATCATAAACTTCCATAGTTTCTTTGTAACAAAACTCAATCTCATCTGAATACACCAGTTCCTTAGGTCATATTATCCTTCCATATTCAAATATTACTTGAATGGAAGCATTACTTTTGTGCTTTATTATGCAGATCAGCTATTATGTGATTTATTATTAGGGGACACTTTTTGCACTGCTCTTATAATAAAGACATATCAGTCTAGATCTAGCAAAAATTATTACCTTTGCAACAGTTGATTTGTTTGAGAGGCTGAATGCTTTATAAATCATAACTATGGGGCAAATATTAACGGTGAGCAAATATTTATGGAAATCCTGGTAGTTGTAGGAAAAGAAAAGCCTTACTCTTGAGCAAAAGCTGGAGGTAATTAGAGGTAGATTTGCTATTGTTGTTGTTAATAAGGAAGAGCAGTTTTGTGATATTTTGTAATGTCAGAAATATTAGCCCCTAAGTTTTTCCCTACTATTTATATAATATAAATGTTTTTTGGACATTTAAACATTAAAAGGCAGACTTGAAATTGGCTCATAAGATGCAGTATGATCTGACTCCTGCCTACATTTCCCTCCTCGTTTTATCAGAATTTCTCTCTTATGTTACAGCCTCACCTTCCTTTGAACATCTTGGGGTCTTTTCCTCCTCAGAACCTAAGCTCATGGTGGACCCTCTGCAGGAATGTGCTCATCTCTCACCCCTGCCCGTGATTCAAGTCTGTTGAACCATTTCATCTTAGAGAACTTTCCCCTTTTACCCAATGTAAGATATGTCTCCCTCCCGTATTCTTCCTTCTCTCATAGTATTATTGACTTGTCCTTTACAGTGTTTATCACATTTAGTAGTTTACTTATTGGTTATTTATTTATTTGACTACTTGTGTGTTTTGTCTTTTTTTGCTTGTTAAACCAGCAGTTCTGAAAGCAAAGACTGTGTCTGTTTTGTTTACAATATACCCAGCACCCAAAGGCAGTGACTGGCTCATAGTAAATATTATAATATTTGTTAACTCACTGAATGTTTCTAACCAATGCAGAGGGCAGCAGAGTTTTTATATAAAATGCCAGATAGTAAATAGAGTAATTCTCTCAGACTGTGTGGTCTCTGTTGCAACTACTCTACTCCCATTTTAACAAAAACGTGACTGCAGATGATACGTAAATGAATGTGGCTATGTACCAATAAAACTTTATATAGAAACAGGTGGCAGCCGACTTGCTGTAGTTTGCTGGCTTCTGAACTAATGCATATGGTACAGCAGATAGCACATTGTGATAACATATCTGCTTAGGTTGCTTTTTGTAAGGGCAATCTAAGCAGATAGAACACATGAGCTGCATGTTGACCACAATTAATTAAAACAAGAATGATTTACTGAGCACTTACTACATGTCAGACCCACTGGAAACTAGGATACAAAGCTAATGATGGACAGAAGCCTGGCTCACTGTCTAGTGAGAAGCAGACAAGCCAAAAATTATATTACAGAGTCATCAGTGCTCTTAGAGGTATACATACGGAGTCTCAGGGATGTGGAAGAGGCCGTATCATATAGTAGAAAGACCAAGTTTTTTAAAAAGTGATTACAAAATGAAGTAGAGAAGGAAAGCAACATTGGTTGAGGACCTTCTGAGAGCTAAGAGCTATCCACTTATTACCTTTTTCTGCTGCTTCACAGCAGAACTCTAAAGAGGGTATAATGAGGTCCTGAAGCTGAGAGAGTCGTGGGAGGACACCGAGATTAACATTACAGTTGGGGTATGGTCAAAGGATTATCTTTGGTGTTAGACTCAAATTTGGATCCTCCCCTACCTCTTTGTGGACTTGGGCAAGTTGTCAAACTTTTAAATTCAGGGGGTTATTGTGAAGATCAGATGAGAGAGTCTTGTAAATCAGTTAGCAGGTAGGTGCTTATGCTTGTATGTTTTCAAGCAATGATGCGGCTGTGCTAAGATACCATTGAAACATAGGTCTGGATAATTCTAGAGCCCATTCTTTTCCTCCTACTACACTTACTCTACTCATTACATTTCATTAAAAAAACATAATTTGGGGACTGGCCCCGTGGTGTAGTGGTTAAGTTCGTGTGCTCTGCCATGGCAGCCCGGGGTTCGCAGGTTTGCATCCCAGGAGCAGACATACACCACTCATCAGCCATGCTGTGGTGGCAACCCATGTACAAAAAAGTGGAGGAAGATTGGCACAGATGTTAGCTCAGAGCTAATCTTCCTCAGCAAAAAAAAACAATACGAGGGTACCAGTAAATTAATCTTTAAAGGTGTCTTTCCTTCCTGCCCCTCGACCCCATGTAAATGCCTTAGGCTGGCATTCCAGATCATTTTTTTCTACTCTTATCTCCTGCTTTCATTCCAACATTTACCTTTTATTTTATTCCAACTGTAATAAACAGCTTCCTTAACACGTCTCATACTTCTGCTTCCATATGTTTGTTCAAGCTGTTTGGAGACGGCATAGATTAATGATTGGGCTCTTCAGACTCTGTGCTTTTCTTTGATGGTTTGAAATTATATTTTATTTTTTAAAAACTCCCTGAGGCCAGGATTGGTGTCTGTCTTGCTTATCTCCCCTCTAATTCACAAGGCAGACACCAGGAAGGCAGAATGAAAGCTCAGCCCCCTCCTGTGCCATCTGGTCTGTCCAAGCTTGGGTGTTTCAGGGCTGAGCTCTAGGTTTCCTGCATTGTACTTATTTTTGTTGCCAGCCAGGTGAGGTGCAGTGCTCCTCTATCGCACTTTCTGCTCTTCATCCCAATCCTTATAAGGATGAGGCTTCTCCTTTGCAACCTGCAGCCCTGTCTTCTCTCAAGCCTCCTTTTCTGGGGACTGGAGCCCTGCCTCTGGAATTGAGTCTGGGGCTCAGGGCTCGCTAGGACTGCCTTCCTAGATGGCAAACTTCCCCTCTACCTGACTCCCAAGTGCTGCCGTCCCCTACTGCTTTATTCCGTCTGTGTGATTTGGGGACCATTGCCCTGTACAGGAGAAAACACGCTCCTCTGCCGTGTGTCTCCTTTACTCAGTACTCCACTGCAGCACTGCTCCACTTCTTAGCGATTCTGCGACACCAGCCGCAAAGTTAAATTGTCTTACATTTTAACTCAGTTATGGTACTCTCTACCTGGAGATAGCATCAGATCAGTCCCACAAGACTGCCTGCCCCCACCACTTCAGCTGCCACTCAGAGGTCCAGGTTGTCATCTGTGCTTCTGACCCACAAGCAATAAATTGGAGATTCCCATGACCCCCTCCTCAGGTTCAATTTATTTGCTAGAGCAGCTCAGAGAAACTCAGAGAAGCTCAGAGAAACAGAACTCAGAGAAACATTTTGCTTACTAGATTACCTGTTTATTATACAAGGATCTAACTCAGAAACAGCCGAGAGAAGAGATGCATAGGGCAAGGTATGGGGAAAGGCATGGAGCCTCCATGCATGCCCCGAGTGCCACTCCTCCTGCACCAATGTGCGTTCACCAGCCTGGAAGCTCTCAGAACCCCATCCTTTTGGGTTTTTATGAAAGCTTCAGTACATAGGCATGATTGATAAATTTCACTGGTAATTGAACTCAATTCCCAGCCCCTTTCCCCTCCCTGGAGGTCTGGGGACTGAAAGTTCCAACCCTCTAATCAAGGTTGGTCCCCTGGCAACCAGCCCCCATCTTTAGGGGCTTTCCAAAAGTCACCTCATTAACATAAACTCAGGTGTGGCTGAAAGGAGTTGGTTATAAATAACAAGAGACAGCTTTATTGCTCTCTTCACTTAGGAAATTCCAAGAGTTTTAGTGGCTCTGTGCCAGCAAAAAGGATGATCAGATATATATATTTCTTACTATAAATCACAATATCACATTCCCTCTCTTGAAAATTCTAGTACCTTCCTTCTCTGAATTGTGACTAAGGCTCCCACATTTGGTAGATGTTTTGCCTTGCTCCCGTTGATGCGGGGTCGGTGAGCCGAGGAGTCGAAAGAAAGATTTCTTAGACTCTTAAGATCTGGCAGTAGTGCTCTTTTATTTAGAGAATAGAATAGCATGGGGACAGGACCCATGGGCAGTCAGAGCTTCTGCTGCCCCAAGTTGAGGGTTAGAGCTGAACTTAAGGCATAGGTATGTGAGTTATCTCTTTACCAGACAAAGAATATGTTAAAAAGTTAAAACGGTATCAGTGCTCTTAGGGTCCAGCCATTTGGCCATCCCGCAACTTTTAGGTAAGAATCAAACTGGATTGAGTAAATGGCAGAAGTCACCGCTTGAATATCATCCTCAGCTAAAGACAAAGGAGCATTTTGGGGGTGGGGGGGGCGGGGTCAGTTACATGAGGTTGCCAGACAGTAAACAACTTAAGTTCTGGCCTCTGGCGTTAAGAGTTTCTAGAGGTAAGGCCATCCCCGCTTCTTCCTGGCACAGAGAGGGAGGCATCTTCACAGATAGAGGTTTCCCTTAGAAATGTAAATATTTCCCAACAAAGGGACAAGCAAATTCCACTCGTTGGAACCTGCTTCTCATCTGTAGTTTTAAAATTAACCAGGCTAAAAATCCTCATCATAAACTGTTTTAAAATTAACCAGCCTAAAAATCCTCATCACCGTTAAAGAAAAAATATTCGAACTGTTAAAGAAAAAGTTACTCATGACGCTTAATGACATGACAGTAAAGCAAGGCAGGCTTTATTCAAGGGAGGCCATTGCAGTGATTGTAGGGATCCCTGCAGTGGGGTCTTGCGGTGGGAAAAATATTGGACTCAACTCCACGTGCTACAGCATGGGAGTGGGAATTGATAGCTGAGGGGCGTTACCGCTCAAGGGGGATAGTCTGCCCACCACAAGACATGCCAATGTTAAGAGGCCAGGTGGTAGGAGGGAAAGGACTTTTTAGTACAGCTTTCTAGCAAGGGGGAAGATGGCCGACTAATGTCTGAAAGAACCATCTTACAGAACAAAGGCTACAGGCCAGTTATATAGGGGGCCTGTCGCTGGGTGGGGCAGACATCTGGATTTAGTTCCTCGTAGTCTTTTGTTTTACTGGACATGCATCAGAGATCAGACACCTTATACCCTGATCTTTCGGTTGTCATTGATGATGGCTATCAGCAAAGACTCTGCCTGGGGGTCATCACATCCCTGAGGAACTCAAAAGAACAAAGTTATCAACTTATAGCAGCTGGGAGGGGCTGTAAAATCTACAGAACATGTCTGATCATGCATAATCAGAGGTCATTCAAAGTTACAATATGGTTTCTCTTCTACAATATGGCTTCGCCTATGCCAACTTTGTGTTGAGCTGGTATCAGGGGCAGGGTGGAGGTCCCTGTATAGAAAATTACGAAAAGGAAACATCAGGGGTCAGGGGGGCATTCTGGCTAAACCAGGCTAACGGGATTCTTGCTGAAGGCAGCCAGGATGATCAGACATCACCCTCGGGATGGTGGGGGATGAGGAGCCCAATCAGATGTTCAGGCTGATTAGATATTGGGGCTAGGGGACTGGTTCTGGTTAAACTGACTTATAAAGATTCTTCCTAAAACTGGACAATGCAGAGAGGAACCCAGAAGTCCAAAAGTCAGGCCCAGTTGACAAACAGTTCAGGGGACCCTGAGTCGAGTTCACTCAGTGAGAAAATCTTTGTTACTCCTTCAGCTGCAGCTCGTAGGTTGGCTTCTGAGCTGGGCCAGACTTGTCATCTCCACCCCTCCCCTCCCTTCCTGTCTGCAGATTATGGGCCAGCTCCAAGATCCTTCCCTTTCTCTCCT